ATCCTTAGATAAACCAAATAAAAACTGTGTCCCACCCTTGAATGGACCAGACCAGTCTGACTGCAGTGTTTTCTCTTTTCTGGTGAGTTTGTTCCGGAAACCAGTCGAGGGCCCGATAAAGCCGAGTGCAAATACGAGGGAGATGTGGAGGTTTACTCAGTGCACACATGGTCTGTCGGCAGCAGGAGAGGCTCGGCCGAGCTCTGCAGAAGAACCAGAGGTCTGAGAGAAACCAGGAGGCAAGGAGACAAACAGAGAGACTCCAGGAGAGACTCACAATTTGATCAAATGAACAAACTCAGGAACACAGACTATGTCGTAGACCAGGAGTGAAAAAGTTAGAAATCGTACTTTAAGGTCTACATACGGCACCGAACAGTGTCCCAAGTCTTTCCTCCCAGCTCACTGTTAATGTGTGAAAACTGAAGTGCCAAAGCATAGTGGCTTAATGCAAAGGCATTTTGTGAGTACAGTGTACAGTTGTAGAGTTATGGTACAGCACAGGAAATTATATGTAGGATCCCGAGAGTGAAAGAGACGCAAAACAACTACATGAAACACAGTTGCATCTGTTTGTGGTTTTTCTGCATCGCGTTATGGTTGTTTTACAGCTTTTTATAATTGTTCTGCATCTTTGTGGTTGTTTTGTGTCTCTTTGTGGATGTTTTGCATCTTTGTGGATGTTTTGCATCTTTGTGGTCATTTTGCATCTTTGTGGATGTTTTGCATCTTTGTGATCGTTTTGCATCTTTGTGATCGTTTTGCGTCTCTTTGTGGTTGTTTTGCGTCTCTTTGTGGTTGTTTTGCGTCTCTGCGTCGTTTTGTGTATTGTGTATGTTATGCCTGTCAATATTTCACATTATTTATCCAACATTTGTTGATGTTTCAGTCTGAAGCAAAGCACAACATGAAGCATGACAGAGGAGAGATGTTTAAAAACAGCTTTCATCCAATATTAGTTGAAAACAACTGGAAATGATTTAAGAGCCTCTGTAATCTTTCATGATCCATTTTTTAGAAATCACATATCTGACACCACGAGTCTGCTTGTCGTTCCTGGAGGGTTTGTACAGGACTGTAGGAATAATTGTGCGTGCGGAGTGAGGACATCCCTCATATGTATGCATGTGTGTGTGTGTATGTGTGGTAAACGCTCCCTGTCCAAACACAGCATCGCCGGCTAAGCCCTGACCTCGAACGGCTCGGCATGCAGCCTCCCCATTATTCTTGGTCACAGAAAGGTCATTATTATTCATAACGTGCTGATTGCTTTCTTGAGCAAACGGAGACGCTCGGCGGTGGCGAGGCTGATGAAACCAGCCCTCACACCTCAGCACAGATATATACATATATATATATATGTATATATCTGTGCTTTTGTACATGAGAGTTAAGATTTCAGGATTAAATTTTCCCTTTAAGTTTTATTTCTCTGTAGAATAACACACGTGTGTCCTGCTGAAATAGCTCAACAAATAATGGATGGATTGTCACTCATTTTTATACAGACATTCATGTTTGTAAGCAGTGCCGATCCGAGACTCTGGGGGGGGCCCAGGCAGAGAAGCCCATCGAATAACCCCCCCTCCACATACAGACTATTTCCGACTTACAATTTACAGATGTTTCCTTAACACCTCACATGCAGACTATTGGTAGATGCTACAATTTAAAGATGTTCCCTAAACACCTCACATGCAGACTGCAGCCCACATCATCAGGGAGCCTCTCTGATGTGGGCCTCTCCTGACAGCTGCACCTCTGAGTGTGATGTCAGTCTCAGAATCTGCCTCTGCCAGAGTTCATCAGGCTTTAGCTAAAACGCTAAGCTGCTAAACTAGATGGTGAACACTGAAAACATACCCGCTAAGCATTAGCATGTTAGCATCGTCACTGTGAGCAGAGCTGCTAGCATAGCGTCAGACTCAGAAACATGAGCTCCAGCTGAAACTGAGGTGTTTAATATTCAACGTGAGCGGATGTCGTGTGTGTTTGAACACAACCCATTGATCCTGTGTGTAAAGTTAATGGATAACCTGCCCTGTCTGTGGACGCCGTCTCAGCCGGCTCGTGAAAACCTGATCAGAGTCGTTTCACTGCAGCTTTAGTCCGACATCGTCGTCACCATCAGATGCTCAGACTGTTGCCTCTGTTTCAGGACAGTAAAGGGTTAATGTTTCATGATCAGAGTCAGACTGAGCGGCTCGGAGGTGTGCTGCTTTAAAAAACACTGACCTGTGCAGGACTGTGATTCCTACAGAAACCAAACACACAGTCTCATAAAACACACATATACTGTAGATGCTGTGTGTGTGTCAGAAAACCTGGATTTTAACGGCTCTATACAAAACGTACAAGGATTACAAATGATTTACTAAATGATAATAATAATAATAATCCTTGCACTAGGCTGCATAAACAGTGAATTGTGGATGACGTCATTTTTTGAGGACGACCACTGCACCTTCTGTTATTAGTAGTATGTCTCCTAACCACTTAGTTAGTACTAACATCAACATATATAAATAATAAGTTCAGTCTGTAACTGAATCTGAAATAAATCTGTCCAACATTGTGACACTCGTACACTCGAACTTAAACTCGCAGTTTCCACTTTTTTATAACTGAAAATGATTTTAATTCAACATTTTCTTGAACAAGCCGTCGTCAGTTTGTCCAGATTGGAATGAAAGATGTCCTCCACAGTGACAGTGTGTTTGTCTCTGGGCTTCAGACGAGCCGGAGCGTCGTGGGCAGTGAACGTGCAGCGGCTCTGTGGTTATGGACGGATCGATGCTCGCTGAAGCATTCGGCTCGTGTTTGATGACAGATTTAATTTACAGTTTCCCCAAAATGATCAAATATCATAATCCACATTTAGTTATCTGTTTTAAATATACAAAATAAATCTCAGGAATATGTTTTAATTCTGTCATATCAAATATTTTAAGAGGTTCTTTAAATATTTGATTTCAAATATTAACAAAACATTTTATTTGAAGAGTAAATTACCATCATTTAATAATCCAGTCTGAGTTCAAATGTTTCATAAAAGGGAAAAATGATTATTGGTTAAGTGTCTTAATAAATAATAATCACTTTATCACAAGATTTTAATGATGATTTTTCCTGTTTAGTTTTTCCCTTGTTAATTTTATTTTTCCAGTATAATAGATGCTTTTTGCTCATATTTGTTATTTGTATAAAGAGCTACAACTAACTGATTTTCATCTTCGATTATTCTGGTGCTTATTTTCTTGATTAATCAATTAATTGTTTTGTTTATAAAATGACAGAATATAGTGAAATATAATTATAATTTCTCACACTCTCCAAACAGACGTCTTTTATTTTGACAAAGAAAATCATCAAATCCTTGTTCGTCACTGATGCTTGAAAAATTACTGAAATGAATATTTGATTATAAAAACAATTGATCATTTTCTATCAATCGATTAACTGCAATAATATTTATTAAAATGGTGGATCTTTAAATTCAGTTTCAAACTGCTGAATGACATTTGTCCACCCTGCAGACACAACAGCAGAGCTGTGAATCCTCCTGTGTACGAGTCACACTCACCTGTATGAGCGAGTCTCTAATATAAAATCTGACGTCATTCATCATGTTGTAGTTTCACAGATCAAAGTTTGGAGACAATGATTTAAAGTATTTAAAGTAAAAAGTAAAATAATCTCTGAATTATGATGAATCTGTGATGTTCACACTCTTTCCAACCACATGACTCTGTAGCTGGTGTCGGCAAACTGAAATCTGGTTCAGACATTCGTGGTTCCCAGAGGATGAATCCTAATGACTTTTGTTAGTGATTTTTCCTGCAGCATCAGCAGGTTAGTCTGATCTGAATCTTATCACTTTTTCTGTGAAATGTCTAAATGTCTAGAGGGATTGGGCTAAATTTTGTTCAGAGGTTCATGGTTCCCAGAGGATGAACCTCAGTGACTTTGGTTACCTCATGATTTTTCCTGCAGCATCAGCAGCTGAACATCTATCAGATGGATTGGGTTAAATTTTATTCAGACTTGAATAAAATGAATCCTTATAACTTTGGTGAATCTCTGAACTTTCCTCTAGCGCCACCACGAGGCCAAAAGTTTAATTTATCCAACACTTTATGATGAGTTCACTGCAAAACTACAGACATTCTCATCAGCCTCAGCTGTAGTTTGGTTTTAAAGTTAATTAGCTCATGTTAGCATGCTAACATACTGAATTTAGATGGTGAACATAGTAAGAATAAACCTGTATAAATAAATATTTAAACTTTCTGAGACCAGAATCCTCCTGAAACACGTCCTGGCTCGACCTGTGTCGCCATTGGTCTCATGTTAATGTGATTTAAGACATTTTCACTGTCTGTAGTTCTTGTTTATCTGCTGACACTTTCCTGTGACTTCACAGGTGATAATGAAACGTTTAGTGCTAATGTTGTAAAGAGAGACTGGATCTCGACAGTTACTCCTACTTTTCCTTTGTATCTTAATTTAGTTTCCACTGTCCAATCAGTGCTTTTCTAGTTGTATGTGGCCTGCAAACATAAATGTTACTGAACACTTAACTAGTTTTACTTTAGTAAAAGTTTTACTTGCTTTGCTTTTTAAGTAGTTTATTTCTTTTTATTTAATTTATTGCATTCATATGTTTTCTTACATATTTATTCCTTTATTTAATATGAAAGGATATTGTTGTATTACAGACACGTCATAACTTTTATTTTCAAAATAAAAGTCATGAATTTCAAAACTTTTATTGTCAAACTGCCTCAAAAACACAGCAGGTGGAGTCCACGCTGAATAAATCTTTGTGGAAAAGTGGAACAAATTGAATGAAACCAATAAAAACATTGAGTTTTTTATATAAAGGTTTTTATCTGTAGCACATGTAAACACACAGATGAATGATGGACTGTGGAAAACTGTTTTTCTCGCATTAAAATACAAATCGAAGTGAATTTATTTTTCAAAAAGTCCTTTTTATTTCATGTGGAGTTCATTATGGGTCTGGTGTAGACGCCGTGGTAGTAGTTGGTGTCGGTGTGAGCGGGATCCAGGCCGGTTTTAGCCGCCACCACCGCCCCGGACACCGGATAGCCGTAGCCTCCGTACTGGACCACCGGGTCCAGTTTGTGGTGCTGAGGCTCGGACATGAGGTTGTTGATGGAGAACGGGTGGTTGAAGGAGTAGTGGGGGTGGGGAGGGGGAGGGGGAGGGGGGTAGTGCTCTGGTTTCAGGTGGGCAGCGGCCTCATGCAGCAGCAGCGGGTGATGATGATGATGGTGATGATGATGATGATGGGGGAACAGGTGCGGAGGGTGCGCGGGGCTGGAGGGCAACAGTTTGAGGTCGACCCCGGGTCCCTTTGCCTCTGAGGACGGGGGGGAGGAGGAGGAGGAGGAGGAGGAGGAGGAAGAAGAGGGGGAGTGCGGGGAGTCTGAACTGGAGCTGGTGCTGGTGACCGAGCCGCCCTCAGACCCGGGCTTCCCCCCCGCCTCCTTGTCACCGGCACCGGGCTGTTTCCCGCACTTGAAGCGCTTCTGCCGCCGCAGGTAGCAGCCGTTCTCGAACATGTTCCCGGAGTCCGGGTGCAGCGCCCAGAAGGAGCCTTTCCCGGGTTTGTCCGGGGAGCGCGGCACCTTGATGAAGCAGTCGTTGAAGGAGAGCGAGTGTCGGATGGAGTTCTGCCACCGCTGCTGGTTCTGCCGGTAGAACGGGAACAGGTCCATGATCCACTGGTAGATCTCGTTCAGCGTCAGCATCTTGCTTCCGGACTGCTGGATCGCCATGGTGATCAGGGAGATGTACGAGTACGGCGGCTTGGCGTGCGTGTAGCTGCGCCGGTACGGTTTGGGCTCCCTGGATCTGATGCTGCAGGCCGGACCGTACACCGGGCTCATCACCGGCATGGTCCCGTACGGAGGCGGGCTGATGGAGCTCATGCTCGGCGGCAGCCCGGCGCCCAGGCCCGGCGTCATCCCGGTCCCGGCCTGCACCACGACCCCGGGGTTCTGCGACATCCCGCCGGGAACCGCGGAGTGACCGACCCCGGCCGGGTTCATGTGTCCGGGGCCGGTCATGCCAGGCGCGTTCATGTAGCTGCTCATGGAGTTCATGTTTCCCGCTGCGGTGTAACACTGAAACACAGAGAGCAAGTTATTAACAGTTAATTAATGCAGGATGATAATAAAGATATCACTGCCAATTAACCAATCAAAAGTCTGACAATGACTTTGTAAAAGAGGATTCATGTTATTTAAATAAAAACAAATCACATAAATTACACTTTAAATATAAACAACATGAAGTCAGACAAACAAACCAATAATAACAAACAGAAACAAACATTTAGCCTATTTAAAAAAAAAGGTTTTCACGTAAAAATGATATTTTTACATTAGTGCAGTGGGTCTATCAATAATCTGTTTATCTAAATAAATGAATGATACATTTTCTGCCAATCAACCAATCAATTCATCTTTTCAGCTCTAATATAAACATGTTGAGCCTTTAAAGGTTCACATTCTAATTGTTACACTAAGTATTCATCTAAACTTTTTTCTTTTCTTATCTCAATCTTTTTGAGGTGCTTTGTGCTTTTTTTGGAGTTATATCTAATTCATGACACGGAAACTTGAACTATGTAATAGTCTTAATATTGCTTGATTAATTATTTAGGCCTAAATTATTAATCAATTATCAAAATAGTTGATTTTCTGATGATTGATTAATTGACTAATAATTGCATCTTGTGCCACTGTGGTCATGCTTTTTAATTTTTCTATAAAACACTTGGTTTGAAATTTATTAACCCACATTATAATTCCTTTGTGCACATCTGTTATTTTATACTTTCAATCCAAACACCAGCACAGACAGAAGTGAGTTAAATTCAGGCATTAATTAAATTATATTTCCTCATTTCAGATGTGCCGTAACATAAAATTACTCCATATTCCTTTATTTATCATTTTCTCTTATTCTTTTTATCATGATTATATGTCTCTGATGTTCTAATAAATAAATCTTTGGACTCTAAAGCCTGACCATCGCCACAAGGCCCAATCTGTGTGTGACTCAGTCTAGAGAAATAAAATGTAACTCATTAAACTTCAACTTGAGATGTTTCAAGAGTCTCTGCACCTTCAGGGATAAAACTCGCTCTGTTGATCATTAAATGATCGACTCGACATGAAACATGTTTTAAACTGTAGAAAACTTCTCCTGAAAACGAACAAATCCCCTGAAAACACAGAAAAGAGAACTGAATATCTGGTTAAATTATCATCATTATCATTATTATTATCAGTAACAAAAGAGAGGCTCTTAACACTGATATTGGTCTTTGATTAAAAAAGGATAAAAACTGACAGATGGGTTCATGTGTTCTTTAACTGTAAAACACTATTTAAGATTCTGTAGTTGACAGTCACTTCACACTGTCTGGCCTTGGTGTGACCTACATTTCATTTTCTTCACTTTTATTTAATCTTACAGACATAAAGACCAGAAATGTAATTTTAGTTTTACTTGTTTCTAGAACAAGTCTCAATCTACTGTAGTATGCAAATACATTTCCAGCTATTTTTCACAGGATTTCTGCAACAGAAATGAAAATAATTATCTTAAGAAAAATACATTTTTTGAAAAACTCTTTAACTTTGTCATTTTTAAATGTAATTGAAGATTTGCTTTCATGGAAATAACAGTTTGGATTTGTTTGGACATTTGATCTGATCACATCTGATTTTTGCTCCAAAACGGGAACGAAGATAAAATTTAACAGAAACCTGAGCTGTAATTTGAACACAGGGCAGAAAGAGAAGTTTGTTGAAAGTTAAGTAGTTAAAATGAAATGCATCGATATATTTTTAATTACAGAATAAAGATTCAAGTGTATGTGAAATGTGAGTGAAATACCGAGGAGGCCTATAAAAAAAAATCCAGTAAGTGGACATTGAGTTAAGTTTTTTGTTAATTTTATCTTCTCATCAGAGGCAGGAACTTCCGGTCTGTTCAGTACTAAATCACAGAGTTAAAACTCTCTCCGTCAGGATTCATGTGTAGGTTTATAATCAGCGGGCTTCCGCTCACATGAACCCGCAGTAAAGTGCACACACCTCGGTCTCTCCGTAGTAGCTGCTGCCGCTCCAGTCCGGATGCTCGTGTCCCTCCATCTTAAAGGCGCTCAGCATCGTGCACGCTCCAGACCAGACTCATCCAAACAGCTGCAACACGAGGCGGGAAAACAAAACACGTGAACCCCACCTGTCCTCAGCTGGCGGCCGGTACCGGTCCGGTGTATCCTGGCTGTTTACAACCGGGGCTGGTGGCTCATACCTGGGCAGCTTCACTGTGACCGGGACACGGTCTCTGCTCAGTGACTGAGTCTGCCGCGGAACCAGCGACCAATCAGCTGTCTCCTCTGTCCGCGCTCGAGCTCACAGTCTCATTTGAATATTGTCAACACCTCTACACGAGACCCCCGCCCCGCGGTGATAATAAATAATGACGTTATCGGTCTAAAGTGACGTCACCAAGATAACTTAATACTTTTACACTCAGTGAAGTAACGAAGTACTTTTACCTCAAGAACTGTGCCGCCCACCTGCAGCAGCTACACAAGCGTCACTGTATTAACAATCAAACAACGTCAATATGATATATGAGGAGATTTTACTGCAGAATATTTTACTTTTAATATGAAATACATTCTGCTGCTAATACTTCTGGACTTTACTTTAGATAATGAAGTGATTTTGAATGCAGGATTTTTACTTGTAGGCTAATGGAGTAATATAAAGTATATTGTATAATCAATATCAGTACTGATAGTGATACCTTGACTTTAATACAGATTCTTATTGATACTTTTTTCAACACCAATTTTTTAAATCAAAATCCATTTTAACCAAAAGAAAATTACCAATACACATTCAGGACAAAGTTTAGTTTTATTTTATTTCTTATTTTTAAGCTTGGTCTCTTTCCTCAGTGCAATGTGCTTGTGTAAAGAAACAGCCAATCGCCAGCATTAGTAGATCATGGGCCCAGCATGCTGCATGCTTATTGGCTCATTGACACTGATGAGATTTACTCATTCACTCCTTGGATATCCAAAATCAAATGACAAGACATTTTTCCATCCTCGACAGTATCAAACTAAAGTCTGGACGGTTGATACCCAGCTCTAGTGGCAGGAGCAGGAATATTACATTAGTGATTTTAGCAAAAGCAGCAACAGATTCACTCACAACAATCATGTTCTTATTTATCAGAACAATAACTCCTCTTATCACACTCGCGTAAAGTTTTGAAGGGAATTGATTTAATCTAAAAAAAACATGACCCCTTTTTATTTTTCAAAACCTTCCAGTTCCTGTAATTTAACTATTAAATTGTTCAAAAAGGACAATAATGGAAACTGAGCAACACTTAACATACAGGCTATAAACATACACATGTGACCTACATTTATTATAGAGCTCAGATAATATTAAATATGAAGATTTAAAACAGGCAACATTTACAGCTTTAATCTCTATCCGTCTTGTCTGTTTCTGAATGAACTGTGAGCACATTCACTGGGGTTATAACCTCTCATGTTGTTGTGACGTGTCAGTAACTTACTGTGAAATAAAAAACATAAACAGCATCAGTTTGAACTCATGAAAAATCCTGAAGATTATAAATGTAAAGCTTGTTTTTGACCTTGAAAATTAAAAACGGTTTCACCCAAAGGTCCTTTGAGTAGCTGATTTGGAGCTTTCAATCATTTCACATGATTAACGAATTGTCCTTTTGTCTTTGAGATAAAGTGTTGAACCCTCGACCTGCTTCATCTGTCATGACTGCAGTGAAATCTCTGCTTTCCCTCACGTTACCCAACATGTCCTCCTGCTCCAATACTCTGACTGATTTCTACATGTACAGGAGCAGTGAATAGACAGTCTACAGTTTGAAGGGGATTTTTGTTCAGTGTTTTCTTCATGTTTTATAGGAGTCACAGGCAGAGTGGAGACTGTCTGGGATCTTCCTCCTCCTCCTCCTCCTCCTGCTGTTTGTGCTGTGACAGTGTGTATTTACCTGGTGGTGGATGTGAAAGGACAACAGGACAGACGGTACACACAGCCGAGGTGAGGAGACAAGAGGAGCTGGACCACCATGCTCTCTGCACACATCCTCCCCCCTCCTCCTCCCCCCTCCTCCTCCCTCCTCCTCCCTCTGTGGACGTCAAACAACCCTAAATATTTCCCTCCTTTGTCCAGTGTAGCTCAGCAGGTCACACAAGACAGAAGACACTCAGACTTTCAGGACAAAGAGAGAAGGCTGAAATATTTACTGAAGCTACTGCTGTCCAAGAAATACCTGTAAACAGCTGCTTTTCCAACATGTGAATAAGTTATTGATTCAAAAACATCTGTATAACTGCAGCTTTTCATCTGTCAGAGAAACAGCTGCTTCTAACAGTTAAAGCTGAATCCCCTGCAGGCTAATGTCCGTCACACTCTACAATCCAACAAACAATATATTCATTATTGTAAAAGTCATTGTCGACCTAAATCAGAAGGGTTTATCTTCTGACATGAATTACACAATTACCACATTGTCCCACACTGACACCTCCTGGTGAGCTCCTGCCACTACAGCCAGATTAACACATTAACACACTTACAGATTAACACAAATCTGTGCTTTTTATTTTTATTGACATAAAATAATAATTAAAAAAAAAAGAGCAAAATAATAACAATAACAGTAAAAGCAGCAGGAGAACTGATGAATCTTTTTCTATATGACATCAGCAGTCCTACCTTTATAACAGATGACACACCTGTTTAAACATCAGAGAGATGTTTCTGCTGCTGTTTCTGTTTTAAAAGACAAAATGATTTCTACTAAAACATCTATTGAATCAAAAGACAAGAAAACTCCATATGTTCTCTGAGCAGTTCTTCATTTCTATTGCTTTAATAGATGGCAGTTATATACGCTTACATTGTTTTAAAACCTTTTCATCGTTTCACAGAGAAAACAAAACAGAAAAGCTACGAGACGTCATGTGACAAAGCAGTGAAATAAGAACTCATTCATTGTTTAAATTTATTAAATATATATTAAATATGATATATAAAAAGATAAGAAGATTTCAATTGTTTTAAATCCTCTGAATAATTACAGATTTTTTAAAAAATGTATTTTATTATTTATTTCATTATCTATTATTATTATTATTATTATTATTATTATTATTATTATTATTGTTATTAGTAGTAGTAGTAGTAGTAGTAGTAGTAGTAGTAGTAGTAGTAGTAGTAGTAGTAGGATTAGGAGTAGGAGTGTATAACTTCTATGAGATTTACATTGAAAAACTCAATTCGTTGACATTTGTACCGACCAAGCTTCCGTACTTGTTAGCTTGTTAGCCGATAGCTTCTGTTAGCCGTTAGCATTGGTTGTACAACACAAGGACAGAGGATCGTTGGCTTCTTTGAACATTTCACGTCATATTTAACATTTCTTTTTCACTACTGGAAGTTGTTTTAAGAGTCATTCAGTTGTTTACTTTTCCTGGAACCTGAAGGTGAGTTAATTTAACGTCAGAGGAGATTACGTTTATTCACAGACACTAAGAATCTGAGACGAAATGTATTAAAAATAATCTTGTTTTCCATGTTTCAAATATCGTCTCACGTCTCCTGTTTAAAACCATGTATCTAATGTCGTCAGTAATGTGTCAGTGTCTTCATGACAACAACAGTTAAACTTAAAAACCAAAGTTACACCGTGTTTCACATCAAGGTTAAAACAGTGTAGGACAACAAGCTGTAGACAACTGAATCACATTCAGTCCATTAACAGAGGTAGTGGTATAATGTGTAATGCATTACTATAGAGTAAGGTAGTAAAATAAACTAAACACATGGAATAGTTTTGTATTCTTGCTTAACATGAGGCAGAAATCACTGATAGACAATTTCAGTTGATAAAAATAATAATAATATGCAGGGCTGTTTATTTTCGCAGTTATCTGATCTTTAAACTGTCCCTATATTTCTCCAAGCCTTTCTTTAAGATGCTAGAGAACACAGTTTTCGTCCCTGTGAGTTTAAATAAAGTTGTGTTTGAATGTGTCAATCTCTTTCTTCAGATGCCGCCCAAACCTCTGGAGCCTCTGGCCAAGAAACTGATGAAGGGGGTGATCGTCCTGGAGCTGCTGGGCGTCTTCGGGGCGTACGGCCTCTTTCAGAGGATGAACAACAGTCAAGGCATTAAACACTCTTCAACAACAACAACCAGAGTCAAACACACTCAGTTTCTGTAGATTAAAGAGAACCAGGTCTTTATTTAATACTTCTTTCAGGAGAACAGGTCTCTGTCTTATTGACCCTGTTTTCCTGATAAATTCAGAGAATGTCCATTTCCACATTTTTATTTCCATCACGGTCACATTAGACTCACCACTCATCCCCAACAGAAATAACAGTTTTTATTGGCTCACTATAAACCTGAATGTTGCTGAGTGACTGAGTGATGAAGTTACACCATTGGTCGGCTGACTGAGTGTTAGTTTCCTCATTCAAAATTAGTTTGTATGACATCATCAGGGGACATTTACAAGCAGTGTTGACAATTTTCTTACTAGAGTTACAAACTTTTCAGACCCTTGAGCGACTTTTTTTCAAGTCAAGCGACTTCTTGGACAAACCTGAGCTACTTACCAGAGTCACTATTATTCCCCTGCAAGTGAAGGTCAGGTTTTCCCTCCACAGACACACCTCTCTATGACGACATGAATGAGCTTCTTTCTCTTTGTATTTATTTACAGTAATGAACCACATTTCAGTTGCTGTTTCTAACTAACTTGTTCTGTTGTCATGACAACAGAAACATAAAAACACGTCAGTGAGAACAGCTTTAACGTGAATTCAGCTGTATTAAAATACTGTGTGGGTCATTGCTTTATCTGCAATTTGCATAAAATCAGGTTCTAGTATGGACATGTACTTTATTTTGAATTTAACGTGCTGCTATTACATTATAATCCCCTTTAATGTTGTTTAACTGGCCTTTGTTTGTCTATTTGAAACACAGCCGTTGTTTGAAATGAACCAGCTTTTATCTGAGACTTTACATTCGACTGAGAGACTTTATTTATTGAAAACATCTTGTTTTATTTCCTACAGACTTCAGGAACACCATGAACAGGAGGTTTCCATCGATTCTAGAAGGTAAGAGTCGCACATGAAGATATTAATAAATACACTGATTTCAGTTTAGATTGACTGCGACAATTAGATATTTTTTAAAAATCACACTTTTACTGACAAATCTGTCAAGTTCAGATTACAAATAGATGGAGTTACATTTCAGTCTGTAGTTAAAACTGTTGTCTGAAACCAGAATCTGCTTTAACCTGCCTGATCATCTGATTTTGTAATTAAAAGGGACAATCTGTATTTTTTTTGTTAGTTTAAATTATAAACGCCCCCCCGTGTGTTTAACTAGTCAAAACTAAAAATATGGAAATGTTTATCTGTTTACAAACATTACGACTGTAAACAAACTTAATCAACATCAGGAAACAACTTTAATTTTAGTTGACACCTTAAGAGTTACAATGTATAGAAGAAAAATCTCTTGTATTGTTATTACATGGTCATCTGCAGAGAAACAGGTAACCATGGTAACCATGACAAATGAATATCCCATATACCAAAGTCTTTAATTTTATAAAAAACTAAACACGGCGCCTCTTCACACTGTGATGATCCGGTATCTCCTCTGTTTCCTCCCAGTTTACTACCAGTCCAACGAGTGGGCGGGGGTCTACGGCGTCCGAGAGAGAGACCACGAGGCCTGGTCGGCCAAACGGGACTAAAGGAGTTCGGCAGAGAAAAAGTCCACATGAACAAAAACTTCTACTTCTTCCTCTTCTTGTTCCCGGGCGTCCTGCTTCCTGTCCTGGCTCGGCCGAACATCGTCTTCCTCTTGCTGAACGCGCTCTTCTTCCTGCGCAGCGTCTTGACGTCGCGGCCCTGGATCCAGTCGTCGCGCTGAGCCTCCCACTTCAGCTGCTTCAGACCTGCAGGGATCAGCAAGAAGCGTTAGAGGAGACGTCCACATCACTGACTCTGGATCTATCAATCTGTATTAGTTATGGTTCGGTATGATTGATCACGTCTCCTGTTCATACCGGCCCTGGATCCTTTTCTAACGAGGCTTCAGCCGTCTGAATTAACGAGGATGCATTTACCAAAGTTACAGGTTTAGTGACACTTTAAGTCCCCAAATGTAACATTTATGAGCAGGAAATTAACTGCAGCTGAAACTAGTGATCTATTAATTGAGTAGTTGAACAACAGAAAAACAATCGGCCACTATTTTGTTCATAATTTGTAATTTTTCAAGCAAATACTGAAAAAATGTGAAATATTTACAGATTTCAGCTTCTCAAAAGAAGATTTGCTGCTTTTCTGCATCATAATTATAAACAAGACAACATTTTTTGACCTTGAACTTAATGATTCATTAATTGGGAAAATATTCATAAGTTACAGCCCAAATATAAACACTTAATAAATAGTTTATAACACACTAAATGTAGCTGTAAGCAGAGTTTATGAAGTGTTTATATCAAAGGACTTGAATTAGGAGGATTTCTTCACGGTCAGTGTGGACGTACATGTGGAACGATGAGTTAATCAATAATCTATAAAAACTGAACACTGGTCATTGAATTGAAAATATGAATATAGATGTTCATCATCTGAGTGTAAATCTATTTGTATATTGACTCAGTGATTTTCTCTGTGGAGAAGTTATTAAACAGCTGGTATCCAGCAAACTGAACAGATCCTCCGTTTGTCTCTGGTCATCTCTGCTGCTGTTTCTGAACCGCTCAGGTGTTCAAGGTTCCACTGTCGCTCAGGTGTCTCACCTGCTCTGTCGGTGTTGGCCATGGCGTTCAGCCCGATGCTGTCAAACTTGGAGCCGGCGTTCTCGTCCAGCAGGGAGCCAAACTGAAAACAACAAACCAAGAACACAATCAGCTGAGTTTTGAGTCTAAGAGGTTTGACAATGTTTCAGTGCAGGTAGAGCTGGAACGATACAATCTATTGATGACTGATCGGTTGTTTTAGTCACTTTTCAAGCAAAACTGTGAAAACTTGCTGCTTCCACCTTCTCAAATGAGATTCTGTTAATGTTCTTCTATGATAATAAACTTTATCAGACCCAGTAAACAGAGTCCGGGGACATTTTAAGCTCACCTCTTCAGCAGAAGCAAACATGGCTGCATCTTTCTTTCCTTTCTTCTTCTTCTTCCCTGGTTTAGAACCTGTGACAAGAAATGATCAATAATGAACGACAGTGTTTCACTGATGCAGCAGCTGGAGCTTAAAGCTTCATCACACGGGAAAAAAAAGAAATTGTTGAATAAACTCAGCTCTGACCCAAAGCTCCTGAGAAGTCGAGCTCCTCTGAGGGTTTCCTCTTCCCCTTCTTGGTGGGAGGAGTGATGTCAGGAGTCTCCATCTCGTCGTCTGAATCTGCAGAGGAAAAGGTTTCATTTTGATTTTTCAGTGCAGGAAAAATACTAAATTCAGTACCTACTGTAAAATGTATGATGTTTTTAAAATTCTATTTTAAAGCTCACTTCATTTTATTTGGTGGATTTTTTGGGGATTTTAAAATGTTTCTCTTCATACGAACATGATGAAGTTCAACACACGTTCTGTCTTTGAACTGAAACACCAACTTAGTTTTTTCAGATGTTCCACGAGAGAAAATCTGATCTGAGAAGAATCAACAACTTGAAACTGGCTCTTTCACAGTTTTTCATGGGTACTGAACTGGTGATTTGTATTTTCTTTGTGCAGAACAGATATCACAGTGATCTGATGTTATGACCCAGAGGTCATTTGGAGCACGTTTCTGATGTGTAATTTGTGTGTGCTTTAATGTTGTGCTTGTGTTGTGGATCTCTCTCTCTCTCTCTAGGGTTCCTGCTGAGGTGTGTGTTGGGATGTAGGTGTGCAGGGGCTGATTGAATGATTGACTGTGTGAGTTTGTAGGTTGTTCCAGGGAGCTGATTGGTGCCAGCCTCCAGGCTTGCAGTTTTAAGGCCGGCTTCTTCCAACTTCTGCAGGGGCTCATCTCTTTCCACTTCCAACACCCTGCCAGCCAACATGTTCTGATATTGTATATAGTTTGCTTATGTGAAAGGTCAGCCCAGGTGCCGTGGGGGTGGGTAGCAATTTTGTTTAACCCAATTTCCTCCTGTTTTTGTTAGGTTAGGAGTTCGGAGGTTAGTGGCTTGTTTTTTTGTTCCTCTTTTGTTTGAGTAGGTAAGTTTAGGTTCCTTAGTCTCAGTTACTTCTGTTTGTTATTTTGCTGTTACACAGTGAACACAGTGACATCACGAGACGTGTGTTTTCTGCAGGTTTTACGTTGATGTAATGACCTTCAGTTCAGACGTGTCATGTTCAAAGTGTCAGAGGAATGTTACCATACAGGTGCACGTCTGAAAAGAGGCTGAAAGAAACTCGAACTCACCATCAAATGCAGCAGCATCATCATCATCATCCTCCAGCTCTGGAACTGACAGAGAAAAGAGAAATAAACAGGAGGTCCTGTAACTGTAACAATGTAAATATCACCACTTTTTCAAATGTATATAAAATATGTATAAATTTCCATCTGAATAATGTGTTTCCACAAAAACTATGATAAACAGTTATTTGTTCTGTTACCTTCATCATCATCGTCGTCAAATTCCTCTCCACCTCCGTCAGGATCCATGAATGCCCCTCCTTCCTCCTCCAGCTCATCCCCGAAGTCTTCCTCGTCCATACTGCCCAGAGACACCTCCTCGTCGTCCAGGTCGTCCATGTCCGAGTCGTCTGAGTCTGAGTCCTCGGCGTCTTTCTTCCCTTTCTTATGCTTCACGTTGCTGAGAGACATCGAGGGGGAAACAGAGGAGGAAGGAGATGAGATAAATAGAGGACATTAAAACATCACAGCTGGATGGAGAGATTACTTCTTTTGCCTCTAGTGGGCAAAACAAAACTGTGAGGTCAAAGGCTTTATTCATCCGTGTTAAATTTAAGGTTGAAGCTGAGAATTAATCTGCAGATTTTCCCCATAAAAGGTTCATATTTTACACTTTATTGGTGTTTTATTACAAGGAAATGTAATTATAAACCATGTCAGCGTTAAGCTGTAGTCAGGTCGTTTGAGTCTTTCTTCTGATTGGCTGACTGTTTTCTTTTGACAGATAACAGACTAAAAACCCCTTTTGTTCAGGTATAAAAACAACAGAATATAAACTGACCTGCCAGATATGAAAGAATAAAAACTCACCCTGCAAAGTCCAGATCATTGTCCGCCAGGTCAGTGAAGTACGAGTCTCCCTCACAGGAATCTGTTCATAAACAAAGTCACATCCAGTTATAGAGTCAGAGGAATATTAAAAATATCAAATATCAGTTCACACAAGATTTCAGTTTTTATACAAAATATGTATATACATGTATCTTTTATGCCTTACTATACTATGTTGTTTTTCCATGGAATACTATACTATTATATTTTTTGGACATGCTATGGAATACCTGAGGCCTGTTTAAACTGTCACCTCATTTAAATCATGTCTTACAACATTACCATTTGCTGCAGCTTACCACTAAATTACATATGTAACATCTCATGTCTTATCTTTAAGTACTCGTCTTCTAGTTTTAGTTTTTGTATTTAATGTGTTCTTTATGCAATTTCTGTCTGTTTTATGCAATGTCTTTAATATGCAATGTATATTGTTTTAATGTCTTATCACTGCACAACCTCTTGTAAATGCTGTTATATGTATTGATGTAAGTGGTTGGTTAATAAATTCAGACAAAAGGACCTGGTGTGTGTGCGTTATTAAGGTTTTTTTGACAATCTATGCTAAACATTATTTATACCTTACTATGCTATGACATTTTTATGCCATACTATACTATGACCTTATATACTGTTGACTTGTTATGCCTTACCACACTATTACATTTGTATAACATATATACAAAAATGAAAAATTTTTTATGACATACATACATAAATCAATACATACATACATACTAGCATACATACATACAGACTACCATATATACTTGCATACATCAATGCAGACTTCAATACATCATACATAATAACACACATACATTTGTACGTACTAACATGCTTGCTATAGTATGTCAAAAAACGTCAATGCAAAAAAATGTCGTAAGGCATCAATAATGTCAAAGAACATAGTATACTAAGGTGTCAAAAAAGAAAAAAAAAAGTCATAATATAGTAAGGCAAAAAAAAAAAGTCATAGTATAGTAAGGCAAAAAAAAAAAACATAATATAGTAAGGCAAAAAAAAA